CAGCTCCGTGACCCACGTGAGCTTGGAGGTGGCCCACGGGGTGCTCAGACCCGAGGACCGCCCAGCTTGGACCCTTCCCTGTGGTCCAGTTCCCACAACTGCAGGATGAGCTTGCTCCGAAAGCTCCTTTTTCGTTTCTCTGCCGCATTAGCCAGCGACTTTGGGCAAGTTCTGAACTTCTCGGTGCCTCCACTTGCACGTCTGAGAAATGGGCAGCATGGCAGGGTGTAGCTTGTTGGCTGGGCCATCCCTAGGGGGATGAAGCGAGCACCATCTAAGTTTATAACTTGAAGGAACTAGCACAGTGCGAAGTCTATTCTGAGGACTTGGTCCACCACTACCACCTCCAATAAACTTAGCTATGAATTCCATTTCTCCTTGAGTTTTCTTTATATTTCATTCTTTTTTTTTTTTTTTTTTTTTTTTTTTTGAGAAGCAGAGAGACAGAGACAGGTGGGAGAAGTCTTCTATCTGCTGATTCAGTCCCCAGGTGACTGCACCAGCCAGCACTGGGTCAGGCCAGAGTCAGGAGCTGGGACCTCGCTCTGGGTCTCTGACCTGGGTGGCTGGGACCCAGGTCCTTAGACCATCACCTGCTGCCCGCCTCCCACAGTGCACCTGTTCAGAATCACATCTGGGTCCTCATGAGTGTAGTCTGTAGGTGTCCCAAGCAGCAACCTAACTGCTATGCCGAACGCCCACCCTTATTCTGAAAACTGTCTTAAAAAGGTTTTCAGGGGCCAGCACTGTGGTGTAGTGGGCTAAGCCTCTGCCTGTGGTGCCAGCATCCCATTTGGTCACCGGTTCGAGTCCCAGCTGCTCCTCTTCTGATCCAGTTCCCTGCAAATGTGCTTGGGAAAGCAATAGAAGATGGACCAAGTGGTTGGGCCCCTGCTTTGTGGCCATCTGGGGAGTGAACCAGCAGGTGGAAGATCTCTGTCTCTCCCTCTCTCTGTCTGTAACTCTGCCTCTCAAATAAATAAATATTTTTTTTAAAGTTTTCAATAACCCAAGCACTCAAAACTAACTGTTGGGGCCGGCGCCGTGGCTCACTAGGCTAATCTTCCGCCTTGCGGAGCCGGCACACCGGGTTCTAGTCCAGGTCGGGGCGCCGGATTCTGTCCCGGTTGCCCCTCTTCCAGGCCAGCTCTCTGCTGTGGCCAGGGAGTGCAGTGGAGGATGGCCCAAGTACTTGGGCCCTGCACCCCAGGGGAGACCAGGATAAGTACCTAGCGCGCTGGCCGCGGCGGCCATTGGAGGGTGAACCAATGGCAAAAGGAAGACCTTTCTCTCTCTCTCTCTCTCTCTCTCACTGTCCACTCTGCCTGTCAAAAATTTAAAAAAAAAAAAACTGTTGCTGAACTTCTTATCCATCTGAGCAGAAATGCCTGTGAGAGGAATATGATATGCCTTTTGCTTTAAGTGGATTCGATTCGGACATTACTCCCCCGCCATCCTGAGGACCCCCGGGGGCAGCCTGTACTGTGCAGAGACCCCTGCCAGGGTGGCTCCTGTCCGCCAGGCTCACTCAGAGCTTTCCCAGCCCTGCAACAAGATTGGAGCCCATGTCAGCTCCTTTGGTGACGGCTGAGACCGCCTCCCCTACCAGGCTGCCAAGGAAGTGATATGTGTTGACTGTGAAGCCCAGGTCATGAAGTGCTCCGTACCTCTACCTTGGTCCCCGATGGCCCCGCAAACCCGGCAGCATGGCAGGGAGGCCCAGGCAACCGGTGGAGAGGCCTCATGGAGAACAGAGCTCACAGCCAACGTCTGGCACCAGCTCACTCATTGTGTGTGTGTGTGTGTGTGTGTGTGCACGCGTGCCATCTTCAGAAAGGATCTTCTGAAACCTGATTGAGGCGGGATAAGCCTCGCTGTGGAGCCCACCCCCACAGCCGGCTTAGGGGCTACATGATTTGGGGGAGGTGTTAAGGAGCCCCGCACACACACACACACACCCCAGAATTATGCACCTTGCCCTAGGTCCAGGCACCAACAAGAATCCGACACCCGCGTTCTTGCCAATAAAGACCTTCAGGTCTCCTGCTCCGCTGCCCTGGTGGGGCGGGGAATCCCATGGCCATCCTCCTCCTAGATCCACCCACACCACCATCACTCTACCTGCAGGCTGCCCTGTTTGCTGTCTTCTCCTAAGGCTTCTGAGAGCGTCTTGTGGCTTCTCCATCCTCACTTCACCTCTGGAATTAATTTCACAAAAGACTCATCTCTCAAGCCTTAGGCACTGTCTCTGCTCTGCCTGGCAAAATGTCCCCGGCCAGGTCCTGGCAAAGCCTAGCTCCAGCTGGAGCAGAGCAGGGAAATGAGACTGATGGCAGCGCCCTCCATGGACCTGGATGGCAGTGGTACCTGTGTCCACCAAGAACCCAACACCCCACCTCAGTCAGGTTTCAGGGATCCAGAAACCTGGAAATCTCTGCCTAACTGGCCCAAGCCCAGTTTCAAGGCTGCGACAAGGGTCCTGCCCAGATTCCTCGCCCAGAGGGTGCATCCTGTCCGTGGCAGGTGCATGCCTTGGGGGAGGGGGACCAAGCAGTGACTGTAAGCAGGCTGTGTGTGCAGAGTCTGAACACGTATGACCTGAGAGGTTCACATGCTTGAGCCCCAGGCCACTTGTGACACGGGACAGAGATAGGGATAGGAAGAGAAGCAGGGAGGGTACACGGAGAGTGCTGGGAGCAGGGACTGTTCCAGCCCTACTGCCATAGTCCCACAGGGAACCCCACAGAGTCCCAGCATTCTGTATTCGAACTCGGTCTTAGTCATTATAAAGCATATTGGCCAGGTAGCAGGAAAGAGAAGTGTTTGATACAACTGCACAGCTTGGGTGTCCTAAGTTAGAGCGGGGCCTGCACCAAAGGCCCGGTGCCCCAGGCCAGGAGCTGCTGCAGCAGGCTGCAGAGGATGGTGCCCGCAAAGGCAGAGACGCTGGGAGCTGCCTGCGGGCTGTCTTCCACGACAGAGCTGCCTTCCTCTCCACCCTGGAGTGGCAGAGACAGGAGTGGGTAGCAGGTGGGACTGATGGGAGGCAGTGTTTGTCTGGGGTCGGGGGTTGGGGGGTCAGAGTGGGGGTGGGGGAAATGGGGCAAACACCTGCACCTGCAGCTGGAGGGCAGGAGACAGGAGCAGAGGCATGGAGAGAGGTATTTTATGCTTTTGGTGTGTGTCTTGGGTAGGGATGGGAGTTGGAATTAGCCCGAGACAGACCGCACAGTGGTTCTCAAAAGTGTGGTTCCTGGGTCAGGGGCATCCCAAATCACCTAGGATCTTGCAGGACAGACAACGTCCCTTCGTGCTGGGCTTCCAGCTTTTCCCTGGCCTGGTGTGGAAATTCTAGACAAAAGACTTTACTGAAGGGAGAGCACCTGTGGACAGGGCTAGCGTCCACGCAGCGGGCCAAAGCCTCCGTGAATGCCACCACATGTCACCTTCCACAGCCGCCTGCAGGACCACTGCTGCTGCTTTTCCCATGTTAGGGACTCAGAATCCCAGGGGAGTCAAGGGCCCTGCCTAAAATCCCCAGGTCACAAAGCTCCCAGGAGCCGCCCAGGTCTCGGGGAGTCTCGGACCACCCCACTTCTCCACCATGTGCTCTGATTCTGAATCTCCCAGAGACCTTGTTGGAACAAATTGTTCCTGAGTTTTTATTCCACAGGTTGGGGAAGAGGGGACAGCCCCCCCCGCCCCCGAAAACACATTCCTAAGGAGTTCCCAGGCCGCGCGGATGCCGGTCCCAGCACCAGGCTCTGAGAACATGCGCTGGGCTGGGGTCCAGCTCCGCTCCCTGCTCCACCCAGGCAAACCTCGGCACAATGGCGTTGTTGTGAGATGCCAGTGAGATAATGGGCATGAGAACGCTGTGTCAGCGGCCTAGGTGGACGGCCTGGTCATTAGCTGGGGAACCTGCCTGAGGCTGGCTCCTTGGAGTGGGGCAGCGCGGACGGTGGGATGCGGGGAGGCAGGTGGATGGGCGGGGGGCACCATAGCTCACTGGAGCCCTCATGCAGCCCACCTTAATTCCAACCACGTCTCAAGGCAGAAAGCCAGCACTGAGGTGCTCGGGCCCAAGGCGCCCCCTCCCCCGCCACCCCCAGCAGCAGTCGGCTCCCCAGCAGCCGGCCACCCTGGGCTACGTCCCCAGGGACGCGTCTGGGCAGGCTGGGGCAGAGTCAGACTTGTGGTTCAGGGCCTGGGGCTGAAAGCCGCTCACCACCGCCTCCAGTGAGAGACTCAGAGCTGGGCGCTTCCCCTCTCTAAGCCTCAGCTTGCCCATCAGCAAAGTGGGTGCAACAGGAGCACCCCATAGGTTGTGGGCATTCCCAGCGCTTGGCACGGGGCCCGGCCCCTGGCAAGAGGTCAATCAGTGGCAGCTGTCAGTATTCTCAGAGAGCGCCTGGCCGCCTCCTGATAGAGGCCTCGACTTGGAACACGAACCGCTCCCACGCCGCTTCCCGGTTGCACCCGGATGCACCGCCCTAGCATGCCAACGTGGGGGCCTAGGCCCGCCCGTCCCGAGCTGGGGCCGCGGGGCCCGAACAGGGCTGGGAAGGCGCCGAGATCCGGGCCAGGAGAGTGTGCGGGGCGGTTCCCACCCGCGAGGGTCAGAGGCGGGCGGGCGCAGCCGGCTAGACTGGCAGGTGGGAGGGGTCGGGGAGGACGAGCGGGGCCGGGGAGGGGCGGGCCGTGGGGTGGGGGGCTCCGAGTGGGCAGAGCTCGGGGACGGGCCGGCAGGGGTGCTGGGCACTGGGCCGAGGAGGCGGGCCCGGGGGCGGGCCTCGGCCGCAGCGCGACCTGGACGGCGTCGACGAGGAGGCTGAGGCCGAGCGGGAAGGGGGCATGGCCTCCCCGCCAGCGGGGCCCCGGGGCGGGACTGGCCCGGGTAGAGTCCACGGTAGGCGGAGCCGGGCCCGGCCGGGGGGGCGGGGCTGGCGGGCTCGCGTAGGGAGGCCGCCGAGGGGGCGTGTCCGGGGCGGGGCCTCTGGGGGCGGGGCCTGGCGAGGCCGTTGAGTTCCCCGACCGCTGCCGGGAGAGGGGGGACCGCAGAGTCGCCGAGCCCAGCGCTGCGCAGTCGGCGGCTGACTGGGGCGCGAGCGGGTTCTCCGGGCTTGCAGCGGGGCAGGAGAAAACAGAGCCAGCAGGTGAGCAAGGGGCCGCGGGAGACCGGCGGGACGAGCAGCGGCAGCCAAGTTTGGTTTTGGCCGCACTTCCCCAGCCGGCTCGGGCAGCTCTCCGGGAACAAGTGACAGGTCGGGGCAGCTGGGGGTGGGGGGTGAGAGGGAGCTTTGCCTCGGCGTGCTGAGAACCTCTGGGGGCTCCGGCTGCGTGGCCCCGGCGCCGCACCTCTCCGGTTCCAGCAGGAGGAAGTTGGAGCAGGTGAGCTCCGCGCTCCGGTCGCACTTGCTCACCGGAGCCTGGAGAGACAGGAGCTGGCAGGTGAGGGCGCGCTGCAGGTCAGCCGCAGGTGCGCGCTCGCGCTGCCCCGGTGCAGCTTCTCCTTGCGAAATGGGACTCAGCCGAGCCAGTGCTTTTAAAGGTCAAACGGATTCGCCGGATAGGGTTCGAACGCGCGAGCCCTGGGGAGGCACAGCCCAAAGCAGGAGCGTTTCGGCTCTCCCCTAGTCTCCCTTAACCGAGAGTTCAACTAGCCAGGCTCCCCCAGCCTCCAGCCAGAAACCCAGTGAACAAGCCGGGAGGAGTGGAAGGAACAGGTCTTATCTAGGTGAGCAGGGGAGAAAAGCGAAAACTCCACCAGATCTTGGGCCAGAGTCAAGCCCAGAGCCCCAGGGCTCTTGCGACATGCCCTGGGTTAGTTTCTTGGGCTGGAAGATTCAGTCTATAGGGGTGGCGGGGGCCTTGCACTGGGCCACGGAGCTGGGCAGCCTAGATCGGTGGTCGGGGGCTTGGGTTTGGGACCAAGCTGACTTAGGATGCCAGTTCCCTCTCCAAGCTCCAGATTCTTCATCTGTGAAATGGGGACAGTGACAGAACCCGACAGCAGGAGTGAGAACTGAAGAGAGCAAGGCCATACAGTGCTTGGCAAGGCACCAGGCACCTAGTGAGGCCTCACTCCGGGGCAGTTCCTCTGCTGTGAGTGAGCTGCATTGACTGGCTTCAGGCTGCAGAGGGAGAGCACCCCCCCCCCCTTTTTGAGGGCTAGAGGCTCCTCCTGACCTGTGAGAGCCAGACACTGCCATGTGCCACCAACGTGATTCTGTAGGGAGGTCGGGGAGTGTGTCTCCAGGCCAAAAGAACCGCTGAGTTTTCTCTGATGTTGTTGAGGCCACAGCCTCAACAGTCAGCAACAAGTTTACTAAGCACCTACTGTATGCTGGATGGAGTGTGCAGAGGTGAGTGAGCCAGGCCTGGCTCTGCCTTCCTCCAAGCTGCCAACAGCAAGGGCTCCCAGCCCCTCCGCGTTCCTGCTGGGGAGGGCCTCTCCCGGCCAGGGGCCAGCTGGGATTTTTGCGTGTCTATATTGACCTGGTGGTTGGAATCCAGCTAGCCCACTGCACCCTGGGCTTGGGGTGGAGGCCCCCACATGGGGCCGTGAGGGCACCTGCTGTCCGAGCAGGACCGGGCACTGGAGGACATTGAGGGCGCTGCGTGTTGGCTCCTGCATCTTCCAGGGAGATGAGCCATGCATTGTGGAAGCAGCCGCGGAGTTCTGTGGGGGCAGAGTCTGCTTGAGGGCTAGGCTAGGAGGAGGAGACTGTGTGTGTGTGTGTGTGCGTGCGTGCGGGCGTGCGTGTGTGTAGGGCTAGGGCAGGTGTTCAGAAGAAGTGAGATTCTTGAGAAACCAGGGCAGGAGGTGAGGGGGCGGGGCTGGGAAAGAACTCTCGCCTGCTGATGTAGGGCCACAGACGCTCTGTGTCCAGGCACAGAAGTGGCTTCGGGGAGCGTGCACATGCGCAAGGTGGCGGCTCTGGTGGTGCCAGTGTGCATCCACAGCAACGTGCCCGACCCCCTCCTAAGCGGCGAGTGTGGCCAGGACACAGGGCTCGCCCGCGTGCACTGGCCCGGATGAGGGCACCTTCAGCGCCTTCAGGACTGGAGAGTTTCGGCAGCCGGGACAGAGGTGGTGTCTCGGACAGGGGAGGTGCCCAGGCAGTCCTCACACACCAGGCAGGGAGGCTGGCTTGCCCAGGGAATTCCCTGGAGTCTGGGGATGCCGCGTGGGAATGGGAGGCGGCATCCACTCATGCAGGCTCTGGGCTGCTGCGGTGAGAACTTTGGGTATGATCTGTACGAAGTGGGAGGCCCTGAGGGTTCTGAGCTGGGGGTGCTGTCATCAAGTGATGTTCTAGGAAAAGCCGTCTGTGCCAGGTGTGCCGGGGTGCTGGACCCAGCGGCCAAGGGATAAAGGCTTTGGGGAATGTCTGACCACGGGGCAAGCAGGGGGATTTGGGTCTCCTGGGGCTCCTCTGGAGTTTCTGCCCTGCAGGGGAAGCCCCTCTGTCTCTGGAGGCCTCAGACTGCCTGGAAGCTCCCTCTGGGGACCCCAGCCCAAGTCCCTGAGGGCCAGGCACCCCTTTCCTGCACACAGGCTGGGCACACCCAAGCCCATCTGGTGCCAGCTGGCTACCCCTCCTCCCCCACGCCTCGGTTTGGCTTTGGCCTTGGCCTCTGCTCCAAACCGTTAGACCCACTTCCTCCGCCCCACGGGAAGCTCAGGGGGTGGTTATGATTTAATCAGGAGCATCAAACAGCCAGAAGTTGGCTCCGTGAGAGGCGGGAAGGGCCAGGCCGCCTTGGCCGGCTTGGCTGGGGCCCCTCTGTGGGACAGGACGGGCCAGGGGCGGGGGGGCCCTGTTTCATCTCAGCAGGAACTGCCCTGCCCACCTGCTTCCCCTGCTCTGAGCCTTAGCTGAGGGCCAGGAGGGGAAGCCCAGTGGTAAACATGGACAGAGAGGGCTGGGATGGGACTGAGAGGGACAGAGAGTGCTGAGTTCCCGCCACATGGAGGTCACCAGACTCAGGCCTCGGTGACAGGCCCGGTTGGTGTCCCCTGGGGGCTGGCTTGCCCCTGACTCACCCGTGGGGTTCCCCCTGGGTGGCGGCTTTCTGCCAGGCCTGATTCACTCCGTGCTGACATGGAGAAGAAGCTGAGGGGAGGAACGAGGCCGGGTCAGTTCCAGCTCTGCTGTTCGCATGCTGTGTGACCTTAGAAAAGTGTCTTCTCCTCTCTGGGCTCACTCCCCTGCCTACTCATGGCCCATTCCTTGCTTGGCTCTCGGGAGGTGCTGAGACCTTGGGTGTGCCCTTTACAAAGTAGAGCGCATGTGTGAACACTTCCCTGTACACCCACAGACACCCCATAGTCTCACCACAGCGTGAAACTGGACAGCCCCCAGCCCAAAGGCACCAGGTCCCACCTCCTCTTCTTACCTCGATCCCCCACGCCCTGACCCCTCTTCTGTCTATCCACTGATTAGCGAGATGGGAGAGCGTGGTGGGGGATCTCGACCCTGCCAGGCTCCCGCCGTCTCTCTCACCCAAGCCTCGGTTTCTGAATCTGTAAGTTGGGGACAGCAATGGCAGCTTTCTCACAGGGCATCACAGGGATGACACAGTGCATGTGGAACACCTGGCACTTCTGTACCTGGTGCACAGTGAATGCTCGGGACGCTAGAGCTGTTGTCATGTTCCGTGCCTGGCCCGTCCCTTCTAGCCTGAGATAGGTGTCTCAGGACATCCCCTGGAGCGCCTGAGACAGGTGTGTGCCCAGATGGACACCCCTGGACACCTGCGTGTTGTGTGCGCCAGCTGTGCCTCTCTAACATGTGTGCGTCCGTGCCCCAGGACGCTGGTTGTCCCCAGCTGAGTGGTGCCCCACCCCCGCTCTTCCCGAGGGTGCCAGGGGCTCCCCAGGGTGGCTGTCAGCTTCCCGAGGGGCAGTCGGCATGAACACAGTGGCAGACTTTCCCAGGCCGCCTGCCTTCCCTTGCCACTGTCTCCTCTGTGCTTGTCTACACCGGGCGTCTTCCCGTTTGGTGTCTTGTTTTGCCATCTACAAAGCGAAGCTCCTGGGTTTCTGTTGGCTGGGTTCCTGGCACAGGGCCTGGCGCAGGGCAGGTGCTTGAGAAACCATGGCTGGATGAGTGACTCTCCTGTGTGCGCGGGGGTGGGGAGGGGGACAGGGCTCAGCTCAGCGCCTGATAGCTGGCGACTCCTTAGCAGTGCTGGTGCCCGGAAGCGAGGTCTGGGGGTCCCCGTCTTGCCCCTCAGGCTTCTCCACACCTGGAAGCCAGGTGTAGCGTGGTGGCGACGGGTGGTCTAGCCTGGGGTTGCTTCAGTAGGGGCTTCTGCTTCCCTGTGATGCCTGGGCTGTCCCCTCCTGGGAGGGGAACAGCCCCGCTTCTGCCAGCCTGAGTCCAATGAGGGGCCTCTGGCCTTGGGTGACCCCTGAGTCGGAGTCAGCAGTTATCCGTGGGAGGGCCGGGGGAACCGAGAACAGCAGGGTGCCCGTCTCACATGCCATCCGGGCAGACTGCTGGGCAGGCAGGCCTGTGTCCTGTCTTGGGTTCCCAGCCCGACTCCTACAGCCGTGTGGAGGGGTGACCCAGCACGGGAGCTGGTCAGGTGGGCCTCGGGGGCCAATGTGGAAAAGCAGGCAGAGCGATGGAGCCTGGCGGTTAGGAGGCCACGTTCAAGCCCTGGCGTTGTGGAGTCACTGCAGCCAGACACTGCCCGTTTATGTAGGGCTTTTGAGCAGCTGTGGAGTTTCGCATCCACAGAGAGTCCTGGAATGAACCCCCCTCGGACACTGAGGGCCAGGGGCGGCTGGACTGACCTCCTAGGGTTGTTTGCCAATGATACATGAGCTACTGTCTGGGTGCAGTTAGTGAGGGCTACACGTGGACCTGCTGGCTTGGGTGGTGTTATTACCGGGAAGCGGGATTTCAGTGTGGGGCTGGTGAACGGCTCGCATCGGGGGACCAAGGGAGGGACCTGGGTCCTGATCTCAGCTCGCTGCTTACATGACTTTGGGGAAAAACCCCTCCTGGACTACGAAGCTATCATGGTTGCCCTGTGATTGCTGCACTCGGTAGGTGAGGCACCTGTGCCGCCCGGGGAGGGGGGCGTGGTGCGGGGGTTTGTCCAGGGAAGGGACTTCTGGGTGCCCGGCCCGTGCTCCTGG